CTCAGCTAAATTTGCAAGGTACATGTTTATACTAGAAAATTATTCGCTGTTTACCTGAAATTCAAATTTAACGGGATGTCCTATGTTTTCTATTCGGGTGAGTGTCTCTATAAATACCCCTGCTCTGATAAGACATAGCAAGTAAAGAGCTGGGAATTCAAATTCAACGATGCCGAGAAAAAAGAGAAAAATTACTTCCAGTGAATTACAAAAAAGAAAGGCTTGAAATTAATGGATTATATGAATATTAAGTCTTACAGTACATTAAACCATAAAGCTGGTTGGTAGATGACACTAAATTAACTTTATACTGCTCACCATTTCCTGTGGCCCAGAATTGAAGAACCAAAGCATACCTGGTACAATACTTTACATATGATGTATGTTTAATAAATATCTCTTCATTGATGATCCAGATGACAGGCCAAGCCTGTTCATTTTACATGTAAGAAATCTGAATAGTTTGAACACTGGCAGGAAAACAGCTGGCTTGCTGAGTAAATAAAGTATTTAAAGTCAAAGTATTCTATAAAGAAAATAATTTGCACCAAGAAAGCTACCGTGGGGTTCATTAACCTATATAATATATTTTTTATTCATCAAGCCTCTATCCTTGACAAATGCTTACTGGACATCCCAAGAAACAATGGATTTTTTTTTTTTTTAAAAAGGAGCTTTAACAAGTGGGCTTCGTCAGAAGTAAAAATTACTGAGCTAGCCAAGGAAAAAAATTCTAAATAAATTACTTTTCTAAAATCTGCCCACCTCTTATCAAATCAAACATATCCCATCATGTTTTTTTTTTAAACAGTAATTTTCCAGTTGGCCTGGATTATCATTAAATGTTTCTGAAAATCATTTAGAATATAGTTTACTTTTTAACACTTGTACTACTTTATTCATCTCACTGGTTTCGAAATAAAGTCATCATCTAGACTATAGACATTAAAACTAATTTGCAAACAACAAATAATAAAAATGGTTTAGTACAGTAGCCCTCGCCCTTTACACCCCACCTCCAGTTTATCACAAAGGCAAGAGAGTCCGATTAGCTATACTTCTCACTGGAAGCAGGTTCCTCAGAGGAGAATGATGAGTAGCTACAAAGTACACTTCCTCCCACCCCTCCTTGTCCACAACTCAGTATACTAGTAAGATTTGCTAATTTGTAAGGCTATGTAAAATCTTTGGCTGAAGCTTCAATTCTCTGAACAGTAGAATTACTACCCTAGTATGGTGGGAAAGGGTCAAAATGCCACCTACTGAATTTCTACTGACACAAACATTTATGTCACCAGTAAAGAAGCCCATTACTGCTCTTACACTGATACCTTATTTTGGCAATGTTGAACCAAGAAAAATTAAACTTGCAGGAAATGTGGGTTTTTTTTAATGTTTTCAAGACTCACTCTGATAATTTTAGGCAAATGAAGGAAAAGCATAGAAAAGACAATGCAAACAGAGGAAGGAAAAAAATACAGTTGTTAAGTGAATTAAGTGGCAGTATGCTGGAGTCCTTCAACTGAAGACTGTGAAATATGACAAAATTAGAAACTCAAGGTTATTATACACTGTTGATATGGACATCCTATATCCCCAAAGAGCTTGTTTTAAATAATGTTAAATTCAATAAAGCCCTGCTTTCAAAGTGCAAGAGCTGAAATTCCTTAATGGGGAAAAAGAGCAGGAAATCCTTTATTAATTCAGTGGGAAATACCTGCTGGTAATCAAGGAGTCATTTTTGGGTTCCCCCCTCTTTATCTCAATGGTGCTAAGATTTCAAGGAAGTAATTTGTGAACAGCACGAAGGCCCAGTGAGTAATTGCAAAATTCAGGTGTTACAGTATGATGAATTAATTACTCCTTTTCACTTTTCAAAACATCTTAAGATTTTTGTAAAGCAACTAATGTCAACAATTCAAGCAGATTTAAGAAGCAATCTATAAGGCTATGAAGTGACTGTGTGAGACTGTGTGTGTATGAATAAATATATAATAACCCATGAAATCCTACATCTTAGGAAGAAACTGAAGATGCTGATAACAAAGAAGATACAGTAAGACATTAATTCAAAAGAGGCCAACAAATTTCTAAAAATTCATCTTTTTGTAGAGAAACCCTGATTTTGGCATTTAGTTATTTTTAACGGCAAATATTAATTTTTTATGGTACAATTACACGCGGAGTGTGTTCAGTGCTATGATGAAATGATTCCATGAGATGTATTTTGGTAGTCTTACTGCTTGCTGTTCCATCTACTTTCACAGAAAAATCACACAGTAGAAAAAACAAGTCACTTTCTCCTTGTCCCACACATAGGATATTGTACTGAGTAAGGCAGCCAGGAAGACTGCTGTATCTCACAGCTCTGAGCAGAAATAACTGGAGACACGATTTCCGGGTTTTCTGTGCAGGGGGGGAGAGTGAAGCAATTAGTTGAAATGCTAAGGGCAAAAAGAGTGGGTGCTCTCATCCCACTGCCAACTCAAAAGCTAGGAGCCAGACCCTCACTGTCATATTTGTCCTACTGAACGGGGGAAGAGTGAGATCTGTATATCGGCGTGTACATATTTTGAGTTGTATACAGATATGTCTCCCTTGTGGGGGAAAAGAGGTCAAGGTGATAGTAGTGGTGAGGAAAAGTTAGATCTGAGAAACTTCGCAATTAATATACCAGAAACACAGAATTTCTAATGACACGGTAGGAAAGGCCGAGTCTGATGTAACAGAAATACCTTATTCAAGTTTAGGGGAAAACCACATCCCTCAGAAAATCTTAGAAACAACCACTGGCTGGGGATAATTTATGTTGTTCAAGAAGGAAGAAATATTGCTTTTTCCCCCCATTACACTACTAATGTAATATGCACGTGGAAGTTAGAGAAAATAAACTGGTGACACAGTAAACTTTTATACTCACAAGGCTACCACAGGAGACAGGTGATGGTAACACAAGACGGCTTTGGAAAAAATGAGAGGGAATGAATGAAAAGTCCTTTGTTTAATGACTGGACCCTCCCCACCCCCCTTATTGCTCATGTGTTGTCCAGTTTGTTGCTTTTAACATGTATAATTTATTTTAAAGGCTTCATATAGTTTATCGTCAATGCTCACAATAATCTTACAAGGTGGATGTCATTAACCCTCTATTACAGATAAGAAAGCTCAGATGCAGAGGTGCTGAGCGACATGTCATCAAAGGTGTAGAGCCAGAATTTGACCCAGCACTGCCTCCAGGATCCTTGATGGGCTTGGGACATAAGCTGTTATCTGGCAGAGCCAATACTTACTGAGGGAAAGAAGGATACTTGGGAAGTGTTATAAACTGAATTGTGTTCTGCCCCCCCCCCCCCAAATTCATCTGTTGAAGCCTTCATCCCCAGTCCTTCAGAATGTGACTGTATTTGGAGAGGGGGCCTTTCTTCAAGAGGTGATTAGATTAAAATGAGGCCCTTAGGGTGGCCCCTCATCCAATCTGACTGGTGTCCTTATAAGAAGAGGAATCTGGGTGCACAGAGACACCAGGGGTGTGCCTCACAGAGCAAAGATCATGTGAGGACACAGCGAGAGGGCAGCCATCTGCAAGCCAGTAAGACAGGCCTCAGAATGAAACCACCCCGATATGGGACTTCCGGCCCTTCAGAACCATGAGAACATAAATTTCTGATGTTTAAGCCGCCCAGTCGGTGGCATTTTGTTATGGCAGCCCTAGCAAACTCATGTAGGAAGGGAGAAAAAGTCATCGAACGCAGTCACTTGCACAGACCACAAAAGCAACAGCAGCTCAAGTGTGGTTCAAAACTGGACTGGGAGTTGTTACAGATTTTGGCCTTGTTAATAAAGCAGGAACAAGTTCCATCCCTGGAGGCACTGGAGGATTGTGGCTCTGTGTCTCAGGCACACGCCTTCCAGTGTGCTCCCCCCATACTGCCCGATATACCTCTTCTCTCTCCCTCACAGAAACAGGGCTGAAATGGCCCCATAACACCAACATACATGCCCCAACAAGCAAGACACATGATAAATGAAATGCATCTCAAGGCATGGTCCGGTGTCGTTCCCTCAGATCTTGCTAGAATAACATGACATTTAAAAAAATACAACCCACTGGATATTTGGCACTGCTTGGGAATGAAGAATATGTCCACTTAAGAGCCACTCCCCCAGGCTGTCAATAAAATCTCAAGCCAGGATTTCTTCTATAAACATTACCTATCTTTTAAAATTATACAGCCTAGGAAGTGAAGAAAACTAATGTAAAGTCCCTGCTTATTTGCAAGTCTCCTTTCGCCTCAACGTAAAAAACATAAACCAGACAGAAGAACACGTTAAATGCTCGGTCGAGGCCCACGGATGGGACAGCTCTGCGCATCTGGCAAAGAGCCTCCACCCTTCCCGCCTCGGCCCCCGGTCACCCTCGCCCCAAACACACACCTATGCAGAGCTCACCCTCCACCAGGGCCAGCCTCCTCCAATCCCCGGGCACGCTGAAAGACGGTATTTACGGATTATTTTTTTTCAGATACCAGCCAAATAATGTTCCCGTTCACTCTCTCACCCACCTTAGACCATACAAAATTTAACATCTGGGAGGATAAACTCTGCCCCGAACGCAGATGACAAGGCTGAGCAGTCATGGAGGAGTTCTCCTCAAGCAAAGAGGACTTGCCAGCTCCCCTCTGAGGTCCAGGCCCTGAAAGGCCAACTGTGGTATGTTTGAGTTTCCATCGGGCCTGGTGCTTGCTGGCTGCTGCTATGTTCACTCAGAACCCAACTGTCCTATAAACATCTCGCCCTGCTGCTGAGAGCTGCCCGCCTGGCCTTACTTCTTGGAGCCGAGAATATGCAATTTGGGAGCTGCAGGCTGCACGGGAACTAACACTTGGAGCACAGCTGACGCCTCTCTTCTCTAGGCCAGTGACAGCTCTAAAAAAAAAAAAATTAAGGCACGCTCACACGAACATAACAAGAATGGGAAGAAAAGTCCAGATTTTCCTCACCATGTGCCACCCAGCCATGTTTACACTGATCGCAAGTCCTCAGGTTAATCTTCCCCGGCTGGAAACATTCACACGTGCAGTTCACCAGTGTGCAGCGGATGGCCTGCAAAGGAGAGGAGGAAAAGAGATCAGCATCTGTTCAAAGGTACCATATTTCTTCACCATTTTAATAATAACACCCACTTCCCATTTTTAACGGCTTTAGGGGCCCGGAGAGTTTTAAAAATAAATTTTGAAACCATCAAAATCTCTTACCAAAACATATTAGAAAACAACACTGATTCACTAATAGAATGTTTCATGCCATTCATAGGTGAGCTTTAAATTAGAAGCATAGACCGAGTAGTATAAGAGTAAAGGATTACATACTCTACAAGATGCTGGATCTGAAACACCAGGGACCCGAAAGAGAAAAAATATTGCTGCTACCAAATAGGCACATTTAAATTCATCCACCTGGCAACAGTGCAAAAAATATACACTCTCATACAATAATGTTCAAACGAAATGTTGTTCCAAGTAAAACATGATATACAAGTAATATTATTAGAATATTACTTTTCTTCTGCAGTGTTTCATTTAAATGTTTTATTAATCTTTCAGACACATTTTGAAAGACATTCCTGTTGGCCCAATAAGACCTGGCATCATTTGTCACTTCCCAATTCCTTGTTTGCTCCCCCCTTGATATATCAAGTCCATTTTCATTCCTATTTTGAAAAATGCAAAACAACCCCCATTTTTTTTTAATGATGATGTAAGAGATTAAGTTTACATTTGTTTTTAGATCAGATGTAGAACAGGAAAAGACATTTATGTGAACATTTGATACTTGGAACAACTCACCTATATCTTAGAAAACTGAAAGACACACTCAAAAACCTTTCATTTCTTTACAAGCACTTTAAAAAATCATCTCCCCGGTTTACATTATAAAGCGAATCCACAGAAAATTAGCATTAATGAAGTGTAACTTTTGATAGATTAAGAACCTATGCTTAAGAACAGTGCTAAAGCCAACCTATGCTCCTAGACTACAGTTAATAAATTTATCTCATACATTTAGTTCTAACTTGCATGGCAGCTCTGAAGACAGAAGGGATTTAGTCCCATCATTCACAGATCAACCATCTACTGTAACTACCTGAACTGCCAGGAAAAGACCTCTCTACAGCTGTAGATGCAATCAATAATTACTGATTTGGGGGGTGGGGTGGGGGAGAGGTACAGGGCTACCTGAAACTGCAGTGCTGGGCCTGAAAGCTACTCTCACTTACACAGCTCCAGACGTTCATGTTCCTGGAACCAGCTGGATTTTTATATAAACCGTCTCATTTGTAACAGACAGTATTTTAGACATTGTTAACATGGTTGGGACACACTCCATTTACAGAGAGTAAGACTGAATGGGCTTTGACTGCTCCCCACGCTTTAGATCAGGCAAGTTTAAAATATTTCTCTTTTGTCAATGAACATCAAATCTATAGGTCCCTGTTCAGTTTCCAACAGAGTCCTTGCCTAGACTCCTCTCTTGTTTCACCTCCAACCCTAGTTTGCTCCTCTATTACTGCAAGAAAAACACTCAGGTGTATCATCTGCCTGATATTTCAGGGCCTTTCTTCCACTGTCAATAGTCCAGTTACACATTAGGAGGTTGTAAAACTTTGCTGTATGTATTAGTGATGAAAGGAAATAGTAGTAAGAAATAGGGGCAGCAAAGGAAATGCTGACTACGCAAGAATAATATATGTAGTTGAAGGTTAGAAGGGGAAATGTTTCTCCCCAAATTTCTTGTGTCAACTTCAATAGTTTAACTGACTGAGCAATACGTCAGAACATTCCAGGTTAGAAAGAGCTTCTTTAAATGGCGTGTTCATTAATGAACTCACAATTTGATTGTACTATGGTAACACAAAACAAAACAACAACAGTTTAGAGGGCAGTGTTTCTACTAAAAACAAGGCACCTTACAAACTATCCAATTATAAATTCAGATGCAGCAACCACATTGACATTAAAATATTTATATAATCTGAAGTGCGATAACAATCTTTCATAAACACTAAGGAAAAAAAAGTCGCCTCTGCTTTACCAAACTAAGGAATGATCAAAACTAACAATGACTCTCTCTCAAGGACTACATGTTAACTCCAGCACAAAAAACATACATATTTTAAATCACTGATTTGATCATTTTGATTCGACAGTTATTTAACAAAAATAGCCTCACTTCACATTGTGTTTAAAACATACTTTCATCGATTTTAATTATAGCTATATTCAGGACAAAACAAATTAAGAGACTCTAGATTTGCTTTATTTTATGTATATTTATTTATTTACTGATTGAACTATTCATTCATTTACTGAGAACTAGTTCATGATTCAAATACGTTTCTCTTCCTAAATAACTTTATACATCTGGCACATTTGGGAATTAAACTTTTCAGATCATCATCCTTTTCCTTTTTCATAATTTTACCCTTTTTGTACCTAAACATACAAACATTGGAACACCTCAGCTCCTTTTGTATATAAACACTTGAGCACTGGAATATCCATTTTGTATTTCTATGACTTCCAGAAGGTCTATTTGTTTTCAATTCAGATTTATATAGACTACAATTGTTCCTTAAGGGAATTATATATATTTAAACAATATGGTCTAAATAAATATTTTGAGTATGAGACTATTGTGGCTTCAAAGGAAGTTTTATTCTAAGTAACATTTTTGAAACGGCATAAAAGTTTGACATACTATTTATTCACAACGAAACAGAACCAATGTGATCACTTGCCAACTCACCCACACTTCAAAAAAATAAATTATCATAAAACTATCAAAGCCAGTTAAGCCTCAAAAACGTACACACTTTACAAGGAGAGAGCTGGGAAGATCAGAGATGGTGAAGCTTTCATTTTGGTGAGCACATCCATTTCTTCACGTAGCTAGTATATGAGTGCTTCCCACCCACTGCCGGGCATTCATGACTACAGAAAATTCAGCGGCGATAACGAGGTAACAGAAAGGGGACACCAGGAAAAGAGAAGACAATTTGATCAGGATATTCCCACCTATAGATGCAGGACCCTTATGCAGGTCTGGCCAACGCAGGCTAGCAACCCCTCCACACCTCCAGGACCCCACTTCAGCGAATGCCTGAAACTCTTTCCTCCATTTCAGTAGGATAAGCTTTTCCAACACCCCAAGAACAAGTTTTCTTAAGCCTGCAACTTATTTAAAGTAATGATTCCTCTGCTTAGCTTTGCCATAGAGTTCTTGAAAGAAAAATCCATGCACCCACCACCCACTGCTTCCACCTACATTTTAATTGTGCAATCTGGATTCTGCCCCACACAGTCCTGAAACTGCTGTCTCCAAGAGGAATGTTCTCATCACATCTGGTCCCCTTTTCTAGCCTCCTTGTTCTCCTAGACCCCGAGGGAACTTAAGGCACTAACTCTCCTTCATTCCTGGGCTGTAGAGACCAACTATCCTAGTTTATTGGCAGCAGCTTCTCACTCTCTCTCCACTGTAAATAAATACAGGTGTTTCCCAGGGCCGGGCTCTTCGTTCTTTAATTAGGCAATTTCATCCCCTCCTACAGCTTCAGATATCATCACTACGCAAAGCCCATCACTGTGGAGCCAAGTACTGTGTTAAGTGGCAGAAATGGATGGCAGAGTTCCTGTGCTCAAGGATTTGACAGTCAGAGCTCATGGGCAGTGGGTTCAGAGGAGAGACCCTAAGAACAGAAGGAAGCCCTTGAACAGGTTTGGGAAGCACCATTTCTCCCTCTTTATGCCTTGGTCTTTTCTTCTACCAAAGGTAGGATTTAAACATTTATCTACAACAGTAAACTATTACCTATTATCAATAATAGCTAGATTTACTGGATATGTGCCATTTTCCAGATACTGTGCTTAACACTTTACAAACATTAGCTCTCCCTCAGAAAATACCACGAGGTCAGTACTATTATTCCCTTTATTTCACAAAGGGGGAAACTGAGATGGAGCTAATTCAGGACCTTGCCCTGAAGTCACAGGAATCCGATTCCAGGTCTGTGTGAGCTCTCCACCCACTCGCAGGCAGCCATGGGGCAGAGCCCCTCCGTCTGCCCACCATCCACCCCCCCACTGTGTATTGTTAACTCCTGATCATCTTTCAAGCTTTCAACTCAAATACTACTTCCATTCCCCAGGGCAGCTGCCCCCAAGGGATCTTTCTGTCACAGCACTTATCACAGTTGTGAATATTATATTTATCTATACTTATTCATTTTATATATATATATATATATACACACACACCTATATCTGTGTGACTATTTGATTAAAGTCTGTCTTCCTCTGTAGAATTTAAGCTCCTTGAAGGCAGAGTGACATATTGTTGGGCTTACAGTGTAAATATAATGGCAAATAATAGGTGCTTAAAAGGCACTTAAAGAATGCATGAGGGCTTCCCTGGTGGCGCAGTGGTTGAGAGTCCGCCTGCCGATGCAGGGGACGGGTTTGTGCCCCGGTCCAGGAAGATCCCACATACTGCGGAGCGGCTGGGTCCGTGAGCCATGGCCGCTGAGCCTGCACGTCCCGCGCTCCGCAACGGGAGAGGCCACAGCAGTGAGAGGCCCGCGTACCGCAAAAAAAAAAAAAAAAGAAAAGAAAGAATGCACGAGTCTTCCGAGCCTCTTTCCCATCTGTAAAATGATGGTAACAATAACATCACAAGAGTGTCAAAAAGACTCAAATGAAATAATGAATATAAAGCATGTAGCACTGTGTCTAGTGATAGCAAAAGCTCAAAAGATGGAAAACATTTATGACCTCAAGAAACTTTCCACATATTACATTTGAATTATTTTCCCCTTATGATTCCTCCCAATGTATTTTTTCCAACACCTTGTAAAATGCTTAACACATATTTAGTCTTAATGAATAAATGAACTTTGACATATATGATGCCATATTCTTCATACTATAATCCTCTAAATTGGGCACGACAGGGATTATTATTTCTGTTTTAATACTGGGGTTCAAAAATGTTTATTTAGGTGTTACACATCTCTTAAATGATAGGGTGGATTTCCCAATCACTAATCA